CTCAGGAACGTCCTGAGATAAAATGCGGATAATCGAAAAACTCCTTAGTAAATATAAACCATTTTACACATTTTAATCTATATATATATATTTATCATTTAGGAATTATTTATCTGTTACTTATTGCAACGAACATTGTGAAAAATGACAAACGCAAATTAAAATACGGCCAAATATAACGCGCCATATATATCCCGTAAATAGATCCTACGCAACTAGTGATTATTGTATTTATAAATATTATCCTACTTTCATTTTCGAAATACTCTCCACTCGAACAAATACACACCTACCTGTGGAGAAGCTACCTGTGTGTACTTGTCAACCTTGTATATACCTACCTTGACGTCTTATCAATTGACAATAGACGTATCACTGTCAACCGAAGGCGGTCACCTTTACCTGGAACATTTTATTTAATTGACAATTTACCCGAGGTAAATTATTTTTTATCCTTTGAGAAACCCCCCATCCTTTAGGTAGATATTGGGTATTCCCCTTACCCTGCCGCTAGGGGTCGCCAATTGAGCGATGCACAGAAGACACCACAGGAAAACATGGCTGCACCCGAAACCGACGTCCCCGCTCGGCTCGGACCAAACAAAACACCCGTACAGCTCGAGGAACTGACAAAAGACGTAAGTACGAACTACAGTCAATATGTAACATGTGCTGGGTCTCGTCAAGGCTTTTGGGGTTAGTGGGTGATGCTGTTTACAAGAAAACGTGGTATTTGTATGGTACATGGGGTAGGGTTTTCAAGCTAAGCTGTGTAATTTGACCAGATGGTCTGTGTATGCATGCATTCCCACCGATACCCTGTTAAACCACGTAGTTCGACAGCCCTGATATATAGCTTAGCATGTTCTAGCTGCCTCGATTTAGTCTCCCGTTTTCCCCACTAACATTTTTTGTTTCATTTTACCGTTATTTGTAATGACTAGGGCTGTATACAGCGAGGGTAGCGCTCGGGTGTTCCGTTAGTCGAGTTCGCTCGCCCGTGACTTTTCCTTTCGTAGCCATTTCATTATTGGGGTCATCCATGCGTGACGTCACAGCCGAGGTCACACACAATGTAGGACCGTAATATTTGGAAACAAACTAATTCATCATTCTTGACAGACAAGGGAAAATAAAACAGGCATACAACATTCTGTTGTACGATATGAGATGGATCTTAGCGATAGGTAGATAGCGAATGATTATCATGTGAGATCTGGTGGTAGGGGAGTTGATATGCTTATATTTAGATGTGTACTGAGTATGGTCTCCTGTACAATATAGATAAGGAAATAGAACGAACAATATTCCTTTCCTGGGTTAACGGAACATTTTACACTCAGGAAATACACAATTAACACCAATGCTGATTTTTGGAAGCAATATTTATGAATTAGAAACAATGTTTTGCAGCAGTAACAGTGTTCGTAAATGAAAATTTTAAAAACAAAGTTTAAACCAACAGAAGTATAAAATTTCTTATTAATTGTTGATTAAAGGCAATTAAAGGTATACAAAAAATAACATTCTGTACATTGTTTGCTAATTACTAGTCCTAGCAGTATATTAGCAATATATATATATATCATATATATATGAAGATAGTTTACTTGATGATTTTTGTATCAGAATTTGTTTTTGATATTCAATAATTGTACAACTAAATGTTTGTTACAAAATCTTAGTGACATTATAACAATTATACAATCAAAGTGCTAATAATGATTAAATATAATGAACATTGATTTGAATCCATTATATCTGTGTCTATAATATTAATGAGGATTTTTTTTATAAGTAAGATATTTATAAAATGATATTTAACTGCATATTGTTCAAATTTAATATGCAATAGAGAAACTTGCAAAATAATTAAATACAATTGTATTTATCATAAAATATCTTAAATTTTATATCTAAGAGAGACCAGGCCTCGCAAATATCATTATGTCAGTTTTCTAAATGTTAATGAGAATTGTAAATTCATATTCATTGACATAGATATCTGTTTTAACTGTTAAATCTGATCAAAAGTATGAAATTGAACATAACTGAAACAGTTCTGTTAATTTTCTTGTAATTTTTATGATGCTGATTTAATCATTACAGTATCGCTAAGGTTTATATGTAAAACCTGCCGTACTTAAACCCTGATTGATCTGGTTAAACACAATTCCATTCTAAAAACGTATCTCATGAATAATAATTTTAGTCACACAAATAGGAGAAATGATGCCATGAGCATAAAATATTTCCAAACTTGATGTTCATTTCATAAGTTAAAGTAGTCAACCCAAGGCTGTTATGGAAATAATCTGTATTGTTTAGTTTAGTTTTATTGTGCAGGGTTGTGTAGCCTAGATTTTATTGAGAATGTTTGACAGAACTCTTGTGTAAATATATGCACTAATTGGAATTTCCTAGAATATGGAGGCCAATCTGATATGTCAACATCTGTATCCTGGTTCCCTTCTTGATCTTGTACAGAAAATGTATCATTTCCTGTCGCACTGTTTGCTAATAATCCTGACAAATGACTTCATCTGCTTTTTCATTACCTTCCTAGAAATGACACACGTGTTCCCTACACAACAGGTTGGACACAAATCTGACGACAGGACATTTATAATAAACAATTTAATTTCAAATGTCAAAAACTGAGGGTAGGTAGAATGTGTATGCTGACAGTGACAGGTGTTTTAATTTGAATTTCATCTAAATTTCCAGTCATATTTATATATATATATATATATATCATAAATCTTCATTAATTTGATGGTATTGTGCAAAAATGTCTAGTTTTATGCATCTTACAATTGTCCGAATTTTATAACACTCCAAATGTACATGTTAAAAACAACGGTTTCCTAAATCTTTAGATACAGATATATATTTTAAACTTTTGTCTTAGAATTAACATCATGCATTCACTTACTGAAATAAATTGGGTATTTTTTCTGTACTTAACCAATTAACTGTCTTCTATGCTTTAAATTCACTTAGTGTATACTTCAATGAAGTGCTATATCAATTTTTAAGAACAAATTGAGTCATTTAAATGTTGCCCTCTGTGTAACACAAAATAGTAGGATGATTGTGAACCAACCCTAATAAGAAGAACACATGGTTTATCTAGTGACTACCCTGGTAGATTTAATGTCCAGATCCGTACTAAATGTAATACAGTTGCCAGCTTAGAAGGGGCTTGTCACTTCACTGTCACCACTTCTGTCAGCCAGTGATTAATCCCCACCCCTCTAGCTCTTTAAGTCAGCACATCCATACATGTATACCCTTAGGGGCCTCACAGGGCCCCTGGGGCTCTCAATGGGGTAACCACAGGATGTCTCAATTAATGTCTACATATAACTATATATCTGGAGGCTCTTTCTTGTTAGGGTGGACAATGTATTATTTATAGTCTCAGATCACAAGATGATCTAACAATCCATCAGATGTTTCACTTGTTTTTCTGCAATTAATGTCATTTTTGAATAATATCTACTTGTGTTCTTATTAATGTTCAGGGCAAACTGTAAAATTTATACATGTCAATTATTCATTTGTTCATTTATCATTGGGTGATTCCATCGAATCATGTACGTGTGAAGTGCATAACTATTGAAAATATTTTAACAACTTGTTGTAAATATAGAATGTTTCTACAAAGCTGTTTAAACAAGTTCCGAATAAGGGCAATGTGATACAGGTTCAGTGATTTTTTTGCGCAGTTTTACAGCCAAATATAGGCCGTTTCCCTGAGCTGAAAAGTGCCTTATTTTCCCTAAATGACAAAAAACTGAGGAATATTTCCCCAATTTCAATACAAATAATGCTTTATTTTCCCAAATAATAAAGAAACAGACTTGTAAAATGTAATAATAACACTGCAGGTTAGATATAACAGCTAAACAATGGCTGACTTAACCGACCTTACATACCTAACCTATTTATTTTGATAATAAATGCTCAATACTAACATTTTATAATACTGCATTATTCTTAAAAAAAACAACCTGTCACATCGTTAGCAAACCCCATATGAATCTGTTTAAAGGATTTTATATAAATATATCATGATAATTATGGTAACAAAATAAGGAAGATCTATTTTTAGAAACTGAAAGCAGACTCAGCTAGGATTGGTACAATATATATATTGTGTGTATGTAACCAGCTGGCACAGGATGTGAAAACTAAATCGGATCAGGGTGTATACGATTAGATCCTACATGGAAAGCAAATCACTGCAACATACACAGGGAAATTAGACGTAGAAAAAATGGCACAGCTTTCCTAGGTACAAATATCTGTTGGGAGGCTTTGATAGATCTGGGTACTTCAATAGGGTACACGTACGTACCTGCATTGATTTATAGCGTATTAAATTCTCCTGACTTTTGATCGCCTTAAATCTTTTTTTCATCGTAGTAACACATATGGCGTGTAACAGTATGATTTGTTGTCAAGTTAGATTTAGGTTGGATACCATTGTATCGTGTATATATATCTTGATATGGCTTCTAAATGCAAAATTTTAGAATCACTCAGGGTTATCTTTTTTATGAGTAAAATCGTGTAAATGAAAGAATGTTTCAAGGTTGAAATTGCAGTGATATATGATATTTGATTCATAAATATTTTGAAGCCTAATACACTGATAGCACTTGACTTTTTCAAAAGTAAGGGCCCTTCAACTCATTCACCCCTGAAATTTCATAATGAACTATTCCGACCTTTGATTTGGAAGAGTTCAAATGTGTCTAAAGGGGTGAATGAGTGAACAGGTGATAAAATTGATTTCAAAACTGACACAACATTTTTAAAAACTATCCCGGGTTTCGTTTCATTTTTTGTCTTTGTTTGGTACAGTTGTGACTGAAACATGAAACATTAAATATTACATCCTGGTTTACAAAATCATGGGACCAGGGATGTAGTTTAGTGGTGATACAAATACAAAATTAAATATTCATAATTCTTTATATTTACAAAACTGTAACCCAGAGTGTGCCATTAGTCAAAACAAAACATATTTCATTTTTTTGTGTGCCCTTGGCCATTTTGTCGAAATAGCTTTTAGAAAAGAAAAACATGTAAAATATTGAAATGTCTGTATTAATTAAGTCAACAAATGAACAACTTGACTGTATAATACATGTCTTACATGGGCTGCTGGACAGTGATTTATAATGCTGGGGTATATACCTGTGGGTAGGTTGACAGTTCCGATCCGTTGATTGACAGGTGATGATTTATGTAGGGTGGGGCTTTATGGGTCGAGAGCTGGTAGCCATGTAACATGATTGATGGGTAGATGTACCCTATTAATAAACACCCTGATAAAGACATCCAAGTAATCACATAGTTATTTCTGACTGGTCAGTACTGTACCCTAACCCCTAGCCAAGTATGTTGAGTATTTGTGGACAGTTGTACTGCTAGTCATACCCAGTATCCAACTGATCTAGGGGTGTCTTCACCTATTTGTGAGTTCACCTGGAAGGAAAATCTTTATCAAGAGATTCAGAAGTGATTATATTATTGTTTTCGATTGAGAGAACTATTTGGATTCATCTACTGGAAAGCTGGAAAATGTTTGACAACAAAGCTAAACACCTGCTTTTAAGAGAAACTCAATCACCTGATCACAGGAATTTCTATTCTCAAGAACAAAACAATGTAAGTTTGTTTAATTTGTTTTTATTTTGAATTTCTCTTTTTTTTCTTTTTTTTTCTGATAAACTAACATATTTAACTTTGGGTGCATGGTGGTTTTCACCCCAATTAACGCTTTTTGGTTTTTCAATAGAAGAGTTTTTCTACAAAATGTACTTAGAGAGTATAATATACGGATTGGTAATATTGTCAGCAGTACATCATTGGTAAATATATAGTCTTAGACTTTTAAACATTATAGCCCCCAACAGATTAAGCTGCACAGAAAGTTGGTTATTGAATATATACCCTTATGTTGTACATTATACATTGTCAACAGGAATAAGTTTATGTCAGGTTGATCCACCCTAGGAATAGACCATGTAACACACCCTTTTATATAAATGAGTAGTTTCGATGTAAATATAGATCTTACGAGCCACATCTCAATATTTATACTCTTATGTTCCCAGAAATATTTTCATTATTGGAACCCAGGTTAATGAGGGTTGGTTACCAATAAAAAGTCTATTTCCTTCTCTAACAAACCTTCATCTGATGAAGATTTCAAATATTGATACTGTTTGTTTGCAGACAGTTGTTATTATAACTACACATTGAGTCAGGAACGGTTAGACCTGTATTTTACCATAAACTACTCATTGGGTCAGGCACGGTTAGACCTGTATTTTACAATAAACTACTCATTGGGTCAGGCACGGTTAGACCTGTATTTTACAATAAACTACACATTGAGTTAGGGGCAGTTAGACCTGTATTTTACCATAAACTACTCATTAAGTTAGGGGCGGTTAGACCTGTATTTTACAATAAACTACACATTGAGTTTGGAGGTAAATTAGACCTGTATTTTACCATAAACTACACATTGAGTTTGGAGGTAAACTAGACCTGTATTTTACCATAAACTACAAATTGAGTTTGGAGGTAAATTAGACCTGTATTTTACCATAAACTACACATTGAGTTAGGGGAAGTTAGGGGCAGTCAGACCTGTATTTTACCATAAACTACAAATTGAGTTTGGTGGTAAATTAGACCTGTATTTTACCATAAACTACACATTGAGTTAGGAGGTAAGTTAATATAAACCTGTATTTAACCATAAACTACACATTTATTTAGGGACAGTTAGACCTGCATTTTACAATATTAAAACTACACATTGAGTCTGGAACGGTTAGACCTGTATTTTACAATAAACTACACATTGAGTCAGGAACGGGTAGACCTGTATTTTACCATAAACTACACATTGAGTTAGGGGTGGTTACACATTGAGTTAGGTGAGATTACTAATTGAGTTAGGGGTGGTTACACATTGAGTTAGGTGATATTACTCATTGAGTTAGGGGTGGTTACACATTGAGTTGGGTGATATTACTCATTGAGTTAGGGGTGTTACACATTGAGTTAGGGGTGGTTAGACCTGTACTTCTACCATATTTGTCCCTTGATATGTATGAACTCAATGAAAAAGCAGATGAGTTGGTTAAACATCAGTGTTATTCAACTATTATTGGTCAAAATCATGAGCTGTGGAACAGTAGTTTGAGGATTAGCACTCACAATTACCATCATTTAACTGCAATGCAACTCCATGATGGATGTCTCAGATTTGGAAGTGGCTAGGTGCATGAACACATACCCTCACAATGGAGTTCAATCAATATCAATACTTGAAGTGTTATAAGTCAAAGTTTGATAGAGATATAAACATTGGCACTTCATTTTTGCATAACAGTTAGTAAACTAAATACCTCGCATTCCTACGCAGCATTACTCATTCGTGAAGCAAGGATGTTAATCACCAGTTATTCATTGCTAAAAGTTCTTCTACTCGAGAACATGATTATCATAAGTTTGTCTCTGTTAGTCAATTATCAATCTTTGTAAAGAATAGTATAATACCTCCCTCAAGGCTTGTTTTGTAAAAAGGTTTTGAAATCAAATAACTTGTGAGAGATAAAAACGTCAATCACAAAACAACACCCACTTGAACCTGGACATTTATATCAGGGGTCGACACTAACACTAGTTCACTAGTCCTGAACTAGAAGATTTCATCAAGGACTAGTGAATGATCACCTAACCTAACTGGTCCTTTGGACTTGTGAAAGATATGATTATAAAATAAAGAATAGTTATTTTTGAAATTTAGAAAACAACTTAAAATAAGATATATTGCATGATAATTGTCAAACTTTTTCTTAAACTTCACCATATTTTTATGTCAGTAATTATTTTAAGTTCCCCTACAGTCGATTACTTTTGATGTTTCGTGCTGTAGATCGCGATGTTTCCTTATCAGGAAATCTTGGACTAGTTACATTGACGAATTCGAAGGACTAGTAAATAATCTTCTCAACAAGTCCTGAAGACTACCAAGCAAAAAATGTTAGTGTCTAGCCCTGTATATCAGTTATAACAGAAAAACAGTAATGAAAGGACTTTGCACCAACGAAAGTCTCATGGTAGATTGATTCACTTACAGTCAAATACATGACAAGGAAAGATATTTTTGAAGATTCTTTGAGAATGAAGTAGGTTGTTGGACACTAAACTGTGGTCTCATTCAGGTGACAATCCCACCCTATAATATACCCAGTCTGCTGCTGGAAAACTCCAGGCCGTGCACTTGCATATGTAATGGCTGCCTCGCTACCCTTTCTCTGATAGCTACAGCTCAGGTGTGGGGTGTATATACACGCACAAAGTCCTGATTTGGCATTTTTGATTTTGCTCCACCCTGAATTTGCAGGTCAGCAAATTAAGAAATTTGTTGTTTTACGTGGCTGTCCCAGGAATAGCCATGCGCTAAGAAACACCACTGTTCTGTAACATGGTATAGATAACGCTGTGGTGTATCTACTACTGTGTACATGTATGTACTACTGGAACAGATAGGGCTGGTCAGGAAGACTTGAATTGTGAAGAATGAAGTGGTATTATCTTTCACTGTATACATATATATAAATTTAAATTATTATGTTCGCTGTACTTTGTTTATTTCATATATTTGACTTTCAGTCTTAGCTTTTTTTAGACATATCAGTTGAAGTTTGTTGTAAATAATGAGGGTCAGAGCTTCAGAGACCTCCATCAGTGTAAGATGAAAGGTGATATGAAGACGGAACTCTTATATCTGAATTCATGATGCTCACTCATGTAACTAGTAAATATTGATTGGTCAAGTTTACACCGGGATTGACAGCGGTATGAGGGATTCCCTGTTTAAAAGTGAACCTTCTACATAGAGTGGAGCAGGGTTGGTTAGTCTCCCCCACCCATAGCAGAGTTGGTTAGTCTCTCCCCCCCCCCCCCCCCCCCCATAGCAGGGTTGGTTAGTCCCCCCCATGGGTGTGGAAAGGGGGGGGGGGTAGGGACCCCATAGGTTTGCACTCCGTCCTTCCATCATATTCTGTCTATCCAAAACGTTTATCTAGGGCATATCGTCTATGCTGTTACACTGGGAGTAACTAGGGCATATCGTCTTTGCTGTTACACCGGGAGAAACTAGGGCATATCGTCTTTGCTGTTACACCGGGAGTAGCTAGGGCATATCATCTATTCTGTTACACCGGGAGAAACTAGGGCATATCGTGTATGCTGTTACACCGGGAGAAACTAGGGCATATCATCTATTCTGTTACACCGGGAGGAACTAGGGCATATCAGCTATGCTGTTACACCGGGAGAAACTAGGGCATATCAGCTATGCTGTTACACCGGGAGTAACTAGGGCATATCATCTATGCTGTTACACCGGTAGTAACCAAATTTTGCATGCAAGTACAGCAGTGTTCTCCGCAGGAAGTTTTTGATTTGTAGTTATACTGTCAAATTGGGAAAACCGTTTGCTGTTTATAATTTTGGCACCGATATGATCAACGCTCCTCATCTATGTCTCAAAAGCCATGCGTCACGGAGTATGTAAGATAAATCAGGTTATCAAAACAACATGGCCCCCATCTGAAGTATGCTCACTTTCGATCTATCTTATTGCGATTGTAGCAGAACCGATTTTAAGCTATCTCCAGCTTGTATTGACAGTCATTGTTGATATGAGCTTCTTATATAGCTTACTTATTTCAATCATTAAAATCTGATGGCCCAAAAACAATGCAGCACAGGTAGATTAGCAGATGTTTGACATTTTTTCTGAATACAAAGCTATTTTCTCTGCGTCTGTATTTGTATTTCCTCTTTTTGTGTGTATTTGTCGGTCAGGTGTGAAAATCAAAATCTACACTGAAGCCTTCGTGATCATGATAAACAGAAATCACTAATGAGACAAATCACACTCCGGTAATTGTGGTATATTGTTCACGTTTCACATTTACATGTATCAGTGGTTCACGTCCCCACAGATGTATCTACCCGCAGGGAACAGATTGTTGATGGTGGTGTCGCTCCTATAGAGAACAATAAAAAGTTTGTCTAACGAGGCCGAGTCTAATTGTGAAGGGGAGAAGAGGTTAAACATTTATGAGAACTTGATGTTCCAATTGTACTTTTGTCATTATTAACATCACAATGACCAGATGAATGCATAATGGTAAAATGGAAGTGCTTAATGGCTTATATTTTCATGTGTAGTGTTAAAACAGCCTTGGGAGAACACTGTGCATCTTGGAATGGCTGAGAACAGAATTTGTAAAATAGGTCACTGTGACCAATGCTTTGACCTATGACCTTAATCTTTGAAAACGTTTGTTGGGGCATATCTACTATTTCATGTGGAGAAACCAGATTGGTTACATCTATGTACATCTTATGATGATGGAGTGCAAAGTATAAGTAGGTCACTGTGATTTATGCTTTAAAAAAGGTTTGGGTGTATATCTTCTACAAATCTTCACCTGGAATAACTAGATTTGATAAGCAACTTCATGGCAGAGTGCAGCGTATGAGAAGTTGGGTCTTTGTGGCCAGTGCTTTGACCTTTGACCATTGAAAAAGTTTGTCTGCAGCATCTGAGTGAGCAGTATCTCATCAAGATTAACAAAATTCAGTATGCAGGTACATTTTATGATGGTAAAGTGCAGTATATGAAAAGTCAGTCACTGTGATGTGTGTTTTGACCTCTAACCTCAGTCATTGAAAAAGATGCTGCAGCATATCTAATTTATTATTTCACCTGGAGTAACCAGATTGGGTATGCAAATACATATTTGGATGATGGAGGGCAGAGTACAAAAGGTAGGTCACCATGACCTATGCTTTGACGTTTCATATAGATTTTTTTCCGAAGCAAATCTCCTATACTATTTTACAAGGATTAACAAAATTTAGTATGCAGAGCAAAGTTTACAAAAAGTAGGTCACTGTGCTTTGACCTCTGACCTAAGTCAATGAAAAAATTTGTCCAAAGCTTATTTTCTAAATTTCCATACTAATTCTCCTGGAGTAATCAATTTTGGTATGCAGGTATATCCTGAGTTGATAGAATTTCCTGTACCAAAAGCAAGTCACTGTGAGCTTTATTTTGACCTTTGACTACAATTGTTGAAAAGAAATTGTCGTATTGGTATTCTGTATCAAGATGCTATCTTTACAGTATAAAAAAACCCAAAGCAAATTAGTTCTAACGTCCATATTTCCAAACATTCAGTAGCCTTCGGTGGATCGATTCCAAATGGAATTCAGTAGTCCAGCACAAAAAGATATTGAATTGACTGAACAACATCAACTTTATTTTTCATTTACCTTAGATGTGTGTATAGTTCAGTAATTATAAATCTTCAGCAGTGGGGGACTTCATGGATTGCCTTGCCATATTTTGCCTTGTTATGAAATAAGTATATATACTCGGGCAGATATTGTTTAATATCATAAAAAACATGTCTGTATAATATCATTTAAGAAAATGTTGTGTTGTGATGTTTAATAAGTTGGAAGACACAAAAGGTATAGTTATATAGCTCGTTATAACCCTTTCACCACTGTAGACCATAATGGACTCATCCAGATTAATGCATGGTAGAGTCTACTGAAGTTACATAGGGGTGAAAGGGTTGATATAAATAACATTAATTTAAACAGTATCAAGGGGGCATTTGCATAAAATTGCTGATTCTGTCTACTTGTTCCTTATTCAGAAGATAAGATTATTTTTTATGCATGAGTGATCTTGTGATTGGAGTCATTTCCCTGTATTTGTCCTGCATGGTTGAGCATCGTGCAGTATGGTATGTATATATATATATCAGTACATATATATATATATATCAGCCGATTGTTTTACTTATATATACCTTGAGTCTGCATGCTGTACCAGAGTTTTGTTTGAACATTTAACACGCTCAGTTACAAGTGTAGAAATCTTTATACAATATGATAGGTATGGAAGTCCTTACACAAACAGTGTTTGTCATGTCAGCCACAAAAAAAGTTAAATCTTGAAAAAGGATGACACTATGACGTAGCTTGTATAATTTCAGGCAACCATTTCATACTAGCCTTTATTTTAATGCCTTGTGAAAGATAAGTTTATTCCATCTTAATCAAATATGATGATGAAAATGAGAACCAAGGTTTAATGGCATAATTTTCCGTCACTATAACAACCAAAAGTCATCCTTGGTAAAACCAACACCTATGACCCTGAAAAAAAGTTTCGTATTTTAAAGGGGCTCTGAAGATCCATTGAAAGATGTATTCAAAAAATAAAATGAGAAAAAGAGAAAAATGTTGTAAATTTATATATAGATATCTATGAATTTACACAGCAGCAGATATTGGTGTTTTACTGCAAAAATGCCAAATTTGTCTTTTAAAATTGATTTTTTTATGGATACTTACCAACTCTCCCTATTTATGAAGGAGACTCACGATTTTGAACCCTAAAATTGAGCATTTTCAACAAGTGAATTTACTAAACTATTCATATTTTCTAAGATCTGATACTTTCATCTGAAGGAACAGCTCAAAATATGCCATTCAAAAGTATTAATTTCCCCTAGGGTATACATAAACACTTTTTATTTAGACTTTTAATTTTGACCACACGTAATCTCCCCTATGGAAATTTCAAAACAGTTGGCAAGTAGGTTTATGCCAAGCTAATTTATTAAAACAAAAAAATCTTTATCAGTTTCCAGGAATAATCAGAGGTGAATGAACAATGATGAACCGGCAAATTTTAGGACTTAGTTTGATTAAATAGTTTTAAATGTATATGATAATATTTAAATATCATGGATCCTGGCACATGTGCATGCTGTCAATGGGAGTTTAAAGGGCACGGGTACAATTTAAGAATGACCTATGGGTGTACGATCGTATTTCGGGCTAGTAGTGCACTTGTCAACATAAGGTTCATTGTCAAAAGTTATAGACTTTTGATTTGATAAAATGTCTACGGATGAACTGAAATTTTATATACATTACCATGGTATTAGCTTTTACGAGAAAATGTTGCAGATATTTTAGAAATAGATTCAAATGTTCAAACCTGTGTATCACACGATTTCAATCGTTTAAGACGTTTTTTTCCTCGATATTTCTACATTTATTTTAGATGTTTACATTATTTTGTGATGAACTTGACTGTATTTTTTCATTGTTAAATCTAGGTCTGTTTTCCTGTTATGTTTGTGGAATGGAATTATCTCCCCTAGTGTTAACACGCTGCATGAATACCATATATAGTCTGGTGTTTGACAATTGCTATAGCCAATCCGCTTGGGGCATTCATACTGTACACATATGATGCCTTTTCCCCATCCGTCGGTTGCTACACGATATTCGGATTGACACGCACGAGTCAAGGGTCACGGAATCTTGTGGAGCGGAGGTGAAAGGTGAAAGGTGAAAGGTGAACCAAAGGTGATGGGCGGCGATTGGTTGGTGCATGGTGATATGTTGTCATGGAATTGATATGTTGTACGTTAAATTCAAAATTTGATTTTCTCTATTCTTACTTGTTTAATTTTCTCATCTGACACACTTTTTTAATATTTCATTTTATCACCTTCGAAAATTTTCTGAAAGAAATAATTGATTAATTATAATTTCTGAAATTATGTAATATAAGAATATCTTAATTGATGGAAAATCGAAAAAAGTTAAACTGTTGTATGTGTTAAATGAGCGTATTGATTGCATTTAAATGTAATGTGTGAATATTTATAAAAATTAGGGCTAAATTTTAAATGATTTTATGATGTATACGTGAATAATATATGTCATGCATATGAACAACTTTCTCAGGAAATTAAGTCATATTGATTTGATTATTTATTTGGGATGCTACTAAGATTATGAGATAAAATTACAAGAGTTATTTTGATTACAATATTGCTATGTGCCAATTATATAGCTTTATCCACTACAAAAAACTGCTTTTTGACCTGTGAAAATATGTATTTATATAACTATATACATTGTCAGAGCATAATTAGATGTTTAGAGTTTTTATTCAAAAATCCATATTGCAAGCTGATTAGAGAGAGAATTAACATTAGTCTAAATTGCGTATACTATTATTGTAGATAGTGTTTTTGAACCTTCTATTTCTCCGAGTGATATTAACATCAGACTTGCTTGCATGACTCGATTCTTACTGCATCATGTGCATTATCTAGTTTAAATGTCGTGCATGATAACTTTTCTGCGAAAGTTCGAAATTTAATCATCAAGACAATGTTGAAATGTATTATTCATCTTCCGACCCCTTGCAACACTCATGGAACTTCTCTGACCTGTATGGTTGGATCAGTCTATTGCGTTTGACAGGGGTAGCAGGATTGAAAACAGACTTTTGATCTTTGTGTTTTTCCATCACTCTCTTTCAGAATTTGTTTAAGCTGCCAAAAAAAGAAATTCTTGTAAGTTTGAATCCAACATTTCGTACATTGATGGTGATGGTTTTTACACCTAATTTAACTCATTCACCCCTAAAATGTTATTATGAACTATTCCAACATTTAAATTGGAAGAGTTCAAATGTGTCTTCAGGGGTGAATGAGTTAACTGTTTTTAAATGCAGATATACATGTCCTCCAGATATAGATGTGCACCAAAAAGTATTCTTTGGCAATTAAGTCATTTACCCCTGAAGACACATTTGAACTCTTCCAATTCAAAGGTTGGAATAGTTCATTATGAAATTTCAGGATGAATGAGTTAAAGCAGAATGAATGTTGTACTATCTTTGGTGTATAGATGTTTTCTTCCATTATTTTTAGAATATATTATAATCTTCCATGTATCATCTCGTACAATTTTGACACATCACAGATGAAAACGATTACATCAAAAATCGACCAAATCTACTCAAAAATGCAATCCCCTGTCCAGTTTCTTATGTAAGAAATTGAAACAAGTTAATAAGAGTAATTCACATGAAATATGTAAAAAAAAATGTTTAGCAAAATGATCTACAATAAAATAGAATTGATATTGTGTCCTCAACTATTTAAAGAGAGAAAGGAAAAGCATGATTTAGGGATTAAAAGTTACATATGTATATATGCAATATATTTCAACATTTATTGCAAACATTTTGAAAAACAAAATCAAAAAGTTGGTGCAGTTTGTATATATTTGAAATATTCAAAAAACAAAAAGAAAAAAAGATGAAAGTAATGATTGAAATTGATTTTAAGGTTCATCAGATAAATGATCCTTCATTTTAATTGCAATAAGTCTTGAAATCTGTAGAAACCATTTGTGCAACTGAATGTGTATCCTGCCTGGCTTGTCCCTACTAAGACCTGGTTATATTGTGTAACAGGACAAGTTGCCCCCAGACGAGCCACGCCCACCATGGAAGGGTGTGTTGGTCGAGTGCGCCAAACTCTGGAGCTATCTCTCTGGGATCTCCACCTTCGAGCGGGCCAATATGCTCCGGAAAGGTCGCGAGGTGCACAAGATATACGTGGAAGTAATGAAAGGAAAAACCTTCCTTGACGATCAGTTTAATCTCACAGAATTTGGACGCATGGTGCTTCAGAACGGGACGATACGAGCTGGACGTGCCAAGAATGCCAAACAAATTGTGGTGGCACGAGAAACCTTGTACTGTAGTGGTTCCGGGGCGTGTAAACGAGGATGTGGAGGATACGGCGAGTGTATACAAGGTGAGGCTCGAAACATGGAACTCGCTCCATAGCGTTTAAGTTAACTTTTAGTAAAAAACTTGTATGTGATTGGAGTATGTTAAAAAATGTGTTTGTTTTGCATTATTTTATGACCCATTAAGAATTGTGATTGTGAAAGCTGGTGTCTTGCAAGTGAAGATTTAGATGCAAGATTTGTCACCATCAAAACACTTTCTCTGTCAAGATTTAGAAATTAATCTATAATCACGTAAATTTAGACGAAAGTGGAGAATTCACTATTTTTATCACTAACGAGGTGTAGTATTTGTTATACCCTACTGTTTTTAAAACAATATGAAGTGAAATGGCGCAGTCTGTAACATGACAAATTCTTCTGTATGAAGTTTTAGGAGACGTGGTTGGAAACATCACTGGTTTATTATAAAGTCAAACTTGATATACGAGAGAATATTTCAGTATATTGCTTAGATGTTCTTTACTTTGATAGAATTACACCTGACCTATATGAAGTCAGAAGTGAGAGACGATGTGTAGAACAATGTTAAGGCTGAAGCTGTCATAATCCTAGGTTCCTATGTAGGTCTTCTAAAAGCAGTTCACTAATTATTATCCGTGGTTATAGGGCCTTTGCAACCAGCCAATAACTTTCTCTACTCCCTGGGGAGCATACAGCTGGTACTACCATTGCGGCGCTCACAGCTAGCATTCAACAAGTCTAGCACTGCCCAACTGCATACTCATTTACAGCTGAGTAGACTGGAACAAGCGGAGTAAAGTATCTTGCTCAAGGATGCAACACAGTGGCGTGACTCGAACCTGCAACCCTTCGGTCGCGAGCCCGGCGTCCTACCACTAGACTACCGTGCCTCACTGTAGCTTTTATTATTTCCAAAACTGTTTTGGAAAAGTCTTAAAAAACTTTAATTCCATGAACAGTTTTTTGAAGATTTTGGTTATTAATTATTTTTTTTTCATTTAACATTAACAATGGACAGTTCAATAAGGTAAAAAAATAAAGCAACATTTGGAAAACAGGAAGTTTTAAAAACATTATCTCTGAAGTTCAGGGAGATATTGCAGTAAAATGGTAAGAAAAGTCTCCCGTTATCTTCAAAATTTCATTTGTCCTTGAAAACTTTGAGCAGACTTTTAAATTTCAACTACGCTACGGTATGAACCCAGCCATATTGGCTGGATGCAAAGGCCCTATAACCACGGATAATTATTTGTGAACCGCTTTTAGACGACCTACGAACTAGGTTGTGATAAAGCGGTATATAAGAACCTCAAATTATTATAAATATTATTATTGTGAAAAATCCTGATCTCAGATGTAGCAGATACCTTGAGTATAAGGATGGTTATAGGAGATATACAGGTCTACTTGGTTAACACCTGGGTTTACCTGTCTGTCGGTAATGATAGGAGAGAATCGTCGTCACCCATTAAGCTCAATCTTGTAACTATCTAGTGAATCATGTTGTATAAGATGTAAGCAGAGAACAAAGGCTTGTCCTAGTCAGCTTAACAACTGAGGTAGTGGAGAGTAGCACATTTTAAGTACCCCATCACAGCTATTTATAACTGTTACATACTCCACTCATAGTCTAAGTCATCCGTCAAACCCACTACGCGTAAAAAGCTGATATATTTTGATAAACATATTGTTATATAAAGTTTGATACAGCTGACAAAGCTTCAGATATATTTGTCCTGGAAAACTTGTCACTCTAAATTACCTGTTGTATGACTTCGTTAGCAAACAGTATACCTGGATTTCTTACAAGGATATAGGTACATGAAGCCTACTGGCCATGTGTGGTAGCGCGTAGCTGCTGTATTTTTCATCGTCTATCTTGTGGCGTATTCTCAGGAACGACACGCAATTAATCATGACTTTGTCACTACACCCTGTAAAAACACCCAAGCTTCTCTGGTTGACTCGTTTCTGCCTTTGTTTTATTACATCCGCTAGCTTACTTGTCTAGGAATCCAGTCACAAGTTGTTCTGTAATTTACAATTGACAAGACAACTTGTAATTAAGCGACAATTTACCTGGAAATGTGCCATGAATTAGGTCTGCACTGAAAATTTCAAAACACCTAAATAAAATAGAACATGTGCTGTAAATAAATATAGGATTGGTTTTGACAATACTATTAATGTAGTAGTTTGTATAGTTTTTATCATATAGGCCTCCGATTGCAGGGAATATATTCTTTTTATTCTATGAATTTTTCAATGTTAGTTGTGTTACAGGAAAACTTACAGTATTATATGTATTTGATTCATTCGTTTGTAAAGAAATAGAAAATTAAAGACATGGAAAAAATTCTAAAAGGATAATGTTTTGTGTTTTTCCAGGGTGTGAAAAAACAAAGATGAGAGGTCACAAGTGCAGTTACCGTGTCAAACTGACCATGAGACTAGGGTATGTCAACTTCTGGTTTGTTGAAGTGCTCGGCGATCATGAACAATTTGCTAGTCTCGACTCAGTGGGCGTCAAAAGTTCACCTTCACCGAAGATGTCCAACAGCAGTAGCCCTGCCGGGTCACCTAGCCATGTTCCAATAATTCAGTCGCCAAATTCAGATCTTCCAAACTCAGCGGCCATCACTACAGCTTCACCGTTGCCGCAAAACCTGCCAAATATTCTCACCAATGCTTTGTCAAATAGTCTGACAAGTAGCTTGCCAAATAGTCTTACCACTGCATTGTCTAACAACTTGCCAAATATCATCGCTAGTCAACCAATGAGTCTGCCTATTAACTTGCCAAATAATATTGTATCCTCCATTGTGAGTCATCCAGGGCTATTTGCGAGTCACGCTGCAGCCGTCCGGTTGTATAATGGTGCTGGTCCGTGCGAGGTTGTTTACCCTTCAATGGAGGGAATCGCACAAAATTATTGTCAGGACATGCCAATATCTCTAGTCAAAGTAAAAAAGGAACCAGAAGAACCACAGGAGTCGGGTGCCGAGCCTCACGTTTCACAAACTTTCCCAGAAAGAACGACAGAGGAGGGAGATTTAAAAAATGACTCTTCAATGATGACTGTTACTCACAGTGAGGTATTTCCAAAGATTTCCTCAGGAGGTCGGGCTAAAGCTAGAAAGAGATTTCATCCTGCACAGGTGATGGGACAAAGGGAAGCTCATCGCCAGATGTTCACTCCGACCAAAACAATGTACACACCAGAAACAGCCACCAGTATTCCACAATTAAATATGGAGTCGCACGTGCGTAAAGAGTTACGAGAACTTGTTGCTCGTCGCGAACAGGACAGAAACTCTTCCTCTTCAAATTTTACATCCATGAACGGACAGCAGGAGGTGCGGCCTGTAGATTATTGGCCGGAGGCAACGTCTTACCCCAACGATGAACCCAGCGACAGTTCCATGTACACTTACGTCTGGGATGGTGACATGAATGAACCGCAAGTTGTCGAGGAAGATGTTACCATGGAAACAACCAATGAAGAGAAGGTAGCAAGAAAGGTTGCAAAGCATGTGCATGGTCGCTGGAAAATGGGCAAGGTGCCGTTTTATTTTTTATTTCGTTTGTTTGATTTTGAAAGCACCCATCGTTGTTATGTACAGTTTTGTAAAAAAAAAAAAAAAAAAAAAGATATCATTAGTCACATTTTACTCTAGGTCTTTTTTGTTTATTTTGTGATGTCTGTGATGTTCCATTCCTACATTGTTCATATCTGTTAAGTACCTCTGGGTTTAGTCATCATTTCTTCCTTTGTCTACAAAGTGAACAGAATTGTGGAATAATATGCATGTGTGCATCTGTCTGGTGACTTGTGTTATGATTATGGTGTGTTCAGTTGTACAGTGGTTTAATCTGGTGTCCCCAGTTTATGGAAGGTCGATCTCATCCCCGCAAAATATTTTGATAGAATAGAATTTTGCCAATGAAATTAACAGCAATTTATGAACATTCTGTAAAGCATTTTTTCCCGGCATGTTGACCTTGTTGCATCTTGTCTTTCAAATGTACGTACAGTATCGCCATGCTTTCCGTCAAGTACATAGAACAGTGTATAGCCAAATCTCTGTTCACAATAATCACCAATTCAATCCCCAATTTGGTGCCTAAAATATAACATTATTTTCTGTATACTTATTTCTGTTTTCCAAACATTTATCGGAATCCTCCTTTCCCTAAAGTATTGTACCTTTTTGAACTTAATTAAATATCTCATGAAATGGTGTAACCTCTCTGCTAAACAGTTTTAACATCTTAGGTGATTTTACCACTATTTCCATCAGGTTTGGTATGTGTATCCTTTGTACCAGGTATGTGTATATAGCTTAGGTTCAAGCACTCAAAAGAGCAGGATACAAGAGACTAAAACCACAGGAGAGCTCGTAGAACGGTCTGTGTACAGGGGAAGCCATTTGAAGCAGGGAGGGTGTGCATGTTCCTGTGTTTGTTAATAATTACTCTTCAATTGACCAAATTATAATTGCCTGCATTACTGGTTGTAATTGTTGTACATATGTCCAGTCTCACAATTTAAGTGTTGTGCAGTTTCTTATCAGTTTTATAATTGCTGATAATTTAAATTGATATTAGTCACAGAAACCATTCGTATGAACGCTCAAGGATAAGTTAACATAAATGGTGCAATATCTTTTTGAATTCAGGTATTTTTTAATCTCTAAAATACCCAACTTAGTATGATCTAGATCATCCATCAGAGTTATGTCTGTGTAGTCTAGATCCTCCATCAGACTTATGTCTGTGTAGTCTAGATCCTCTATCAGACTTATGTTTGTATAATCTAGATCCTCTATCAGACTTATGTCTGTGCAGTCTAGATCCTCTATCAGACTTATGTCTGTGTAGTCTAGATCCTCTATCAGACTTATGTTTGTATAATCTAGATCTTCCATCAGACTTATGTCTGTGCAGTCTAGATCCTCTATCAGACTTATGTCTGTGTAGTCTAGACCCTCCATCAGACATATGTCTGTGTAGTCTAGATCCTCTATCAGACTTATGTTTGTATAATCTAGATCCTCTATCAGACTTATGTTTGTATAATCTAGATCTTCCATCAGACTTATGTCTGTGCAGTCTAGATCCTCTATCAGACTTGTCTGTGCAGTCTAGATCCTCTATCAGACTTATGTTTGTATAATCTAGATCCTCTATCAGACTTATCTCTGTGTAGTCTAGACCTTCCATCAGACTTATGTCTGTGTAGTCTAGATCCTCTATCAGACTTATCTCTGTGTAGTCTAGACCTTCCATCAGACTTATGTCTGTGCAGTCTAGATCCTCTATCAGACTTATGTCTGTGTAGTCTAGATCCTCCATCAGACTTATGTCTGTGTAGTCTAGATCCTCTATCAGACTTATGTCTGTATAGTCTAGATCCTCCATCAGACTTATGTCTGTGTAGTCTAGATCCTCTATCAGACTTATGTCTGTGTAGTCTAGATCCTCTATCAGACTTATGTCTGTGTAGTCTAGATCCTCTATCAGACTTATGTCTGTGTAGTCTAGATCCTCTATCAGACTTATGTCTGTGTAGTCTAGATCCTCTATCAGACTTATGTCTGTGTAGTCTAGATCCTCTATCAGACTTATGTCTGTGTAGTCTAGATCCTCTATCAGACTTATGTCTGTGTAGTCTAGATCCTCTATCAGACTTATGTCTGTGTAGTCTAGATCCTCTATCAGACTTATGTCTGTGTAGTCTAGATCCTCTATCAGACTTATGTCTGTGTAGTCTAGATCCTCTATCAGACTTATGTCTGTGTAGTCTAGATCCTCTATCAGACTTATGTCTGTGTAGTCTAGATCCTCTATCAGACTTATGTCTGTGTAGTCTAGATCCTCTATCAGACTTATGTCTGTGTAGTCTAGACCCTCTATCTGACTTATGTTTGTGTAGTCTAGATCCTCCGTCAGACTTATGTCTGTGTAGTCTAGATCCTCCATCAGACTTATGTCTGTGTAGTCTAGATCCTCTATCAGACTTATGTCTGTGTAGTCTAGATCCTCTATCAGACTTATGTCTGTGTAGTCTAGATCCTCTATCAGACTTATGTCTGTGTAGTCTAGATCCTCTATCAGACTTATGTCTGTGTAGTCTAGATCCTCTATCAGACTTATGTCTGTGTAGTCTAGATCCTCTATCAGACTTATGTCTGTGTAGTCTAGATCCTCTATCAGACTTATGTCTGTGTAGTCTAGATCCTCTATCAGACTTATGTCTGTGTAGTCTAGATCCTCTATCAGACTTATGTCTGTGTAGTCTAGATCCTCTATCAGACTTATGTCTGTGTAGTCTAGATCCTCTATCAGACTTATGTCTGTGTAGTCTAGATCCTCTATCAGACTTATGTCTGTGTAGTCTAGATCCTCTATCAGACTTATGTCTGTGTAGTCTAGATCCTCTATCAGACTTATGTCTGTGTAGTCTAGATCCTCTATCAGACTTATGTCTGTGTAGTCTAGATCCTCTATCAGACTTATGTCTGTGTAGTCTAGACCCTCTATCTGACTTATGTTTGTGTAGTCTAGATCCTCCGTCAGACTTATGTCTGTGTAGTCTAGATCCTCCATCAGACTTATGTCTGTGTAGTCTAGACCCTCTATCTGACTTATGTTTGTGTAGTCTAGATCCTCTATCAGACTTATGTCTGTGTAGTCTAGATCCTCTATCAGACTTATGTCTGTGTAGTCTAGATCCTCTATCAGACTTATGTCTGTGTAGTCTAGATCCTCTATCAGACTTATGTCTGTGTAGTCTAGACCCTCTATCAGACTTATGTTTGTGTAGTCTAGATCCTCTATCAGACTTATGTTTGTATAATCTAGATCCTCTATCAGACTTATGTCTGTGTAGTCTAGACCCTCTATCAGACTTATGTCTGTGTAGTCTAGATCCTCTATCAGACTTATGTCTGTGTAGTCTAGATCCTCTATCAGACTTATGTCTGTGTAGTCTAGATCCTCTATCAGACTTATGTCTGTGTAGTCTAGATCCTCTATCAGACTTATGTCTGTGTAGTCTAGATCCTCTATCAGACTTATGTCTGTGTAGTCTAGATCCTCTATCAGACTTATGTCTGTGTAGTCTAGACCCTCTATCAGACTTATGTTTGTGTAGTCTAGATCCTCTATCAGACTTATGTTTGTATAATCTAGATCCTCTATCAGACTTATGTCTGTGCAGTCTAGATCCTCTATCAGACTTATGTTTGTATAATCTAGATCCTCTATCAGACTTATGTCTGTGTAGTCTAGACCCTCCATCAGACATATGTCTGTGTAGTCTAGATCCTCTATCAGACTTATGTTTGTATAATCTAGATCCTCTATCAGACTTATGTTTGTATAATCCAGATCCTCCATCAGACTTATGTCTGTGTAGTCTAGATCCTCCATCAGACTTATGTCTATGGAGTCTGACCCTCCATCAGACTTATGTTGTAAAATCTAGATCCTCTATCAGACTTATGTTGTAAAATCTAGATCCTCTTTATCAAATTTTGCACAGTCTACATTGTAAGAAGTCTACATTGTATTACACATGTGCATTCTACATCATATCACAGTGTACATTGTATTACAGTCTAAATAAATACTGTCTACATTGTAATGCACAGTCTACATTGAATTGCAAAGTCGTAATCATATTACAGTCTGCATTGTTATACACAGTCTTCATTGTAATACACAATCTCTACATTGTAATACAGTCTACATTGTAATACACAGTCTACATTGTAATTCACAGTCTTCATTGTTATACACAATCTCTACATTGTAATACACAGTCTACATTGTAATACACAGTCTACATTGTAATTCAGTCTTCATTGTAATACACAATCTCTACATTGTAATATACAGTCTACATTGTAATACACAGTCTACATTGTAATATACAGTCTACATTGTAATACACAGTCTACATCGTAATACACAGTCTACATTTTAATATACAGTCTACATTTTAATACACAGTCTACATTGTAATACACAGTCTTCATTGTAATACACAATCTCTACATTGTAATACACAATCTACATTGTAATACACAATCTCTACATTGTAATACACAGTCTACATTGTAATACAGTCTTCATTGTAATTCACAGTCTACAATGTAATACACAGTCTGCATTGTAATACAGTCTACATTGTAATACACAGTCTACATGACATCTGTTATTGTCATGTTTCACTTAATATCATGTTTTCCTATGACAAATGAGAATTGATATTAGGAAGAATTCAGTGTATAAGGTATCAATCTATTCAATGTAAGTAGCTGATACAATGACTAGAACAGAGATGTTGTATACAGCATTGATCTCTCTACCTATCACTTATATACAGGTTGTGGGTGAAACTGAGGGTTTTCTGTGTCTTCATTTCCAGCTCATTAAATTACAATTTCTCTCGTCGGTTTAGTATTTGTGAATCAATCATGCTATTACTGTTAGGTCTACACACAGTAGAAGTGAATTTAGAATATGTAACTTTGTGTACTTTTATCAACTAAGT